TTTTTGTGGCACCCTGGCAGGTTAAAATACTCAGTGACAATTGGAAAGATGGAGAAAACCATCAACGCAGTGTATAGCCGCCTTTTCCAGGACACCTTGCTCCTGCCAAGTATGTCTCCTGTTGGGTTTACATCTCACAAGTTCTACCTTTGTGTATCCAACCCCCTAAGTTGCTACCAGAGGGCTTGGTTTGTACATGGGTAGTTTCATGGCATGACGAAATCCCAGGTTCAACCAGGGATCCACCCCAGAGTGCGCAAAAGCGATGCACAGTTGATCCCTGATGGACTTCTGGACGACCAAGTAGGAGAGCACACGCTTGTTTCAACATCCATGCTCGTGTGCCAGCTGACAGCCTTTGTTACTGGAAGTCGCCGTGGCAATGATCAAACCTTGATGTGTCTTGCCCAAATGGTACTGTAAAACTTCCAACAAACAATCAGGATTAGTTGTATTGGATGCAGATATTTGTTGAATGCCGGTATACTTATACCGCCTACATCCCACAATATATGGTTAGCCCGAGTAGTTCATAACATCTGTTTTTAGTTTCCCATCAGCTGCCAAAGCGAGCAAAATGGGTAGGGCAGTCTCAACGGGTTTGGTAGGCGCAGCCGAAGCTGCAGTTGCACGTTTAAGGTCAGCAAAGATGCTACGTGACTGGTTGGATTGCCTCCTTCAAAAAGGGAACTTTTTGCATCAGCTGATTGTCACACAGGCCGGGGCACGCCAGATTTCGACAAATTTGAGCTGTGTCTTTTGTGCGCGTCTTGATGTTAGAAAATCATTGGCGTCAGGTACCAGTGCCAGTGGCTAACGGAGCTTTGCAGCTGTCTTCTCAGCCATTGCTGGGTCAACTGGTATGGTGGCAGGTCTTCAAACATTGGTGGGGCCAGGGAAAAGAAGCTGCAGAGTGCGCAAATGAGGTTGATTCCTTATATCCTTCCAATGTGCCTAGGTTTTGGTTGTAGGTTTGGATTTGTGTTGTGGGCCCTCGGATATCACTAGTGCATTGAACTGGAGGTATTGATTTGTTTCTTTGATGTCCTTGCGCAGTTGTCGCTGCACAATCCAAGGTCAACAGCCCTTCTGTGGGCAGTGTGGTTGCAATGCTGCTTTACAATGGCAGTGACTCCTGCGTTTCAGCTGCGGAATCCCTGTTGGTTCAATCGGTCCAAGTTCTGTATCACCATTTCACTGAAATTTTTGCTTCTGGATCTCAGCCTCAGCAAGCTATCGTGGCGGAACATCAGCACTTGGACAATGCTTTTGTGGAGCAGATTCTCCTGAGAATGAAGGAGGCCAGGAAAATGCATGACTGCACTTCCATTTAAAGACATCTGATTGTTTCTCGCCCATCGCAGCTAGCTGTAGACGTATCACGTAACATTGCCTTGCAGGACGGTTTTCGGCGAATGGAAGAGGCGCTGGAGCACTATGGCATCAAACGCACAAACGCGCCGAGGATTTTGAAGGACTCACCTGTCCCCACCGTACTTTGTTTGCGAAACCTTGCTCTTTCGTTTTTGCAGTGATGATTTGAGCCAGAAACTTTTGGGGTTTTCAGGGTTGAAGGCACCCTGGCCCACGACAGGACTACGGGTCTGTATACCGTTGTCGTGCTTATGCTGAATTCAAAAGCACCGTGTACCACCAGGCTGGATGCGGACCTGCTGCCAACACATGACAGACACATAGGGCACATGCAGGCACAACTACACTTCATGCGGCTGTATCCTCAAGACGTGCCAGCCCAGGTCGTTTTCGATGGGGCCAATCCAGGCGGTTTCAAAGCATTGTTCTTGTCCTTCTACGCGCCGGAGTTGCACCTTGGTGCAGTGCTGCCGCACCAAGTGCCAAACTTACACACTGATGGTGCGAAGATCATGATTTTTTTGGTGCGTCGTTGCTATCTCATTGTTGTTTGGATGTTTGGGTAGGCTGCTCAAGTCTTGTCGAGCAAACTGTTCTTGTTACATGTTTTCTTTGGGGCGGCCATGGATGCGCGAACCGTGCTGCAAGCCCGCTTCAAGTGGGCCCACATTGTCTTGAGATGCTTTGTCCAGATGTTTTCGGCATGTCACCTGCAGAACACTTTGCTTTGTCGCCTGCAAGGCTCAGATTCTGACTTTACAGGAGGTGCTGCTGCGTGGGAACATGCGAGTCAAATGCTGGAAGCAGCGGCACATGAAAACGGAATGGACATTCAATTGCAGCCCCGTTCCATTTGCGAGGCTTGTTGGCAAAGATTGACCATACATAAATCAGTCGCAGACAAAAACTGGTGAATCTGCCATCACCCACCCACTCTTTTAAAATCGAAAATCTGGCTGAGGGCACGGGTGGAAACGCCTACTATGTGTAGGCCTACACAGTATATAGGCAAAGAGACATAGCTGTACATCTTTGTACTCGGTACTGGAGTTGAGCCGACTCAGTTTGTTTTAAGTCGACTCGGGTTGGTGTGCCCTTGCGGTTCTGCATATCCAAGACTCAAGACCATACTTATCAACATCATGTGTGTCAGCAAGTCATAATTCATTGCTGTGCGCATGGAATTGGCTATGTTGCATGCTTCGGCTCCGTGATCTTCAAACGAATTCCGTGGTTGACAACACGGGCAATGCTGAGAGTTGATTCCATCTGGGGTGGGCGGTGATTGTGCACAGAAAAGGCCTGCATCAAGCGCGTGAAGCATTTGTGCGAGTTTCGCAGCGTGTGTGCGGCGTGTGTGGAGGTGTGCCCGTGCATGTGGGCTGGCTGGGGTGGTGGGCTGGCCGGGGGGTCGTGGGATTGGTCAGGGTCGCGCGGCCCTCGCGCGGAGTTGCGCGGCACCCGAGCAGAGGCATGTTCCATGTAATCGCAGCGTGCCCAAAGGCAGTAATGTCGCAGCGCTTGTAGCTCCGTAATCTTGCTCCTAGATTCCTAGCAAGTCATATATTCATCGCTGTGAGCATGGTGCGCGTTGAATTTTTCTTTGAAAACACACCTGGAAACCAGTGAAAATTTAGGGCTTTTTAATTGTGTGGGGTTCTTGTTTTTAGATCTGTACCTTCCGCCTCCGCTTCCCGCCTCCGCGTCCTCACACACAACTTCTTCACACACAACTTTGTCACACACACACACACACCATCTTTGTCACAGCATCCACACACCATCACTTGGCGACATCCACCGTCGTTTCACGTGGCAGGCGTGGCACTTGGCGATCTTGGCGACATCCACCTTCGTTTTGCCTGGCAGGCGTGGTATTATCACACTTGGCTGGGTCTGGTGATGCGCTTGGTCCCCGTTGGTCGCCCGTGACGCCGCCGCGCCACTTTGCGTGGCAGGCGTGGCACTTGGCGACATCCACCTTTGTTTTGCGTGGCAAGGGTGGTACTTGTGACGCTTGGCTGGTCTTGTGACGCGCTTGGTCCACGTTGGTTGCCCGTGACGCCGCTCCACTTTGCGTGGCAGGCGTGGCACTTGGCGACACCCACCGTCGTTTTGCGTGGCAGGCGGTCCACGTTGGTCGCCCGCGACGCCGTGCCACTTTGCGTGGCAGGCGTGGCACTTGGTGACATCCACGGTCGCTTTGCGTGGCAGGGGTGGCGCTTGGCGACGTCCACCTTCATTTTGCGTGGCAGGCGTGGTACATATGACACTTGGCTGGGTCTGGTGACGCGCTTGGTCCCCGTTGGTCGCCCGTGCCGCCGCGCCGCCGCGCCGCCGCGCCACTTTGCGTGGCAGGCATGGCACTTGGTGACATCCACCGTCGTTTCACATGGCAGGAGTGGCACTTGGCGACATCCACCTTCGTTTTGCGTGGCAGAGGTGGTACTTGTGACGCTTGGCTGGGTCTGGTGACGCGCTTGGTCCCCGTTGGTCGCCTGTGACGCCGCTCTACTTTGCGTGGCAGGCGTGGCACTTGGCGACATCCACCCTCGTTTCATGTGACAGGCGTGACACTTGGCGACATCCACCTTCGTTTTGCGTGGCAGAGGTGGTACTTATGACACTTGGCTGGGTCTGGTGACGCGCTTGGTCCCCGTTGGTCGCCCGTGACGCCGCGCCGCTTTGCGTGGCAGGCGTGGCACTTGGTGACACCCACCTCCATTTTGCGTGGCAGGCGTGGCGCTTGGCGACATCCACCGTCACTTTGCGTGGCCATCTTTCACACACAACTTTGTCACACACACACACAACTTTATCACACACACACAAATTTGTCACACACCATCTTTCACACACCTCTTTGTCACACACCATCTTTCACGCACAACTTTTTCACGCACCATCTTTGTCACACACCATCTTTCACACACACCTTCTTTCGCACACATCTTTGTCACACACCTCTTTGTCACACACCTTCTTTCACACACCACTTTGTCACACACCTTCTTTCACACACCACTTTGTCACACACCTTCTTTCACACACCACTTTGTCACACGAAACTTTGTCACACACCTTCTTTCACACACAACTTTGTCACATACCATCTTTCACACACATCTTTGTCACACACACACACCTTCTTTCACACACCACTTTGTCACACACCTTCTTTCACACACCGCTTTGTCACACACCTTCTTTGACACACCACTTTGTCACACACCATCTGGCACACACAACTTTGTCACACCATCTTTCCCACACACAACTTTGTCACACACACTTCACTGTGTCACACCCAACTTTGTCCTACACAACTTTGTCACACACAACTGTTCACATACAACTTTTCGATCGATCCTCCACCACCTCCTTTGTCTATCCTTCCTTCCTCGTCCCGCTTGAACTTTTTGTGTCTGCTTACTGGAAGAAGTTGACTTGTGGGGCTATCCGGTCCTTTAATTTACTTGTTTTTAAGATTGTGTTTTGCTAAGAGTGCGTCGACTTAACGCGGGTGCGTTGACTTAACCCGAATGCAATTGTGCTTTGCGAGTGCGTCGGCTTAACGCGAACTGCGTTGACTGAACGCGCCCGTAGCTAAGGAAATTGATGAAGTCATGCGCAGAGCATCACAGGCATCTCTGGATCCAACTGCATGTTGCTTCACCGATATCCTTGACATATGGGGCGACGGCCCACGGGCGAAATGTTTCTTGAATTCTCTGGGCTCATACGAGGAGAAGCTGCAAAGTGCCTGGCTGCTTCCGTGCTTTGATTCTGCATATTGCTGCCAGCATAACCAGTTCTGCTGCTACACAGGTTCTTCAGAGCGTTTCCGTGTGCAAGGACCACCTTGCGTGGATTGGTCACCAGCAGGATCTCAACAAGGAATTCACGGGGAGCAACTTCCCACCATGCTGGCGTCGGGGGCTAAAACGAGGGTCACTGGATCCCAGCTGGTGGGACTGGAGAATGTGCGGCAGCTACCAGGTCACGTTGTCCAAGATGCTTTTGGGCCAGGCTTTGAATTTTTCGACGCAATCTTGTCTCCAGACCAGGTTGGTTTCGAGTTCATGTCTAGGGAAAGGACCTTCAGCGTTGGTTTGGCATCTTTTCATTTCTTGGCTTGGCTATGGTTTAGGTCAAGTCTGTAGGGAGAAAGGACTTGTGAAGCTGCTTTGTATTCTTTGCCACCCGCTGTCTCCTTGCAGGGCATACTTTGCTGGTGTCTTCAAGGAGAAAGCCACATGGTCTTCAGATCCGGGCTTTGTTCTGCAACATGCACTTCATCATTTGCAAAGGGAAGCTACTCCAAAGTATGGGTGGCCTGGCATTTAATTTGAAAACTGAAATCGGTCGCTGCTTGTCAAGTTTCTCTTGCGCTGGTTCATTGGCTCTTGGCTTGGTTCTTGCGCTCCTTTTTTGCATGATTGGCTCAGGCCAAGTGTTCTCTTGTGCGGCTCTCCAGATGACATCCGCGAAGACAACTTCAATTTGGCCTGTCACCGTGCCCATTTGAAGGGCACCACATTGAGCCAACGCATGAAACTTCCGTTTGACCATTTGCTTAATTTTAACGAACGTGAGCGATTGAAAATGTACATCTGGAAATTCCATAATCACAACTCGGACAGAAACTTGTGCAATTTTGCAGACTTGGCGTGTCACCTGGGAGATGACCCGCGAACGGGTTGGACGACGTGGAGTGCTACCTCGCATGCAATGCCCACCTTGAGGCGCTCCTCTGGGCTGATTGCATGCCCTAATAGCCAGAGACAGTTCCTGCTCAAGGAGCTGTATTGTGGAATGGGCTTTGCCACTTGGCCATTCCTTGCTCACACCTCAAAAGTCCCGATGTTTGAAGTCTCCAGGCCTGGGGTTTGGACATATCCCCAAGCCCGGCAAGCCTTGGGGAATGCTCAGCATGTCGCTTGCGTAGGAACTTTCATGGCTTGTGCCTTGGTTTCCTCTTCTCCAATTTGGACCTGAGACTGTCAAGACGGTGAAAAGAATGAGTTGTTCCATTGCATCGGTGTGCAGGTCATTTATTGTGCGGCTCTATTTGTTTCCAGCTGAGCTGTGAACAATGATTTCACCAACATTGATGCTTTCCGTCCGGTTCTTGCTCATGAAAAGCAGTGAAGGGCTCAATCGTTGACGGTTGGAACTTTGAGTGGGCACTTGCCTCGGGGTTTCCTCGCCATGACAGCTCCCCCGCCTCCACCGGCTGGAACCACGGCGCCTGCAGGAATGATGTTGGTCCCAGCAACGCCTGCAATGGGCCAACAGGCTCCTCCGCTGGCATACCCTGTTCAGCACTCTCAGCCTGCTTACCCCATGCAGCCTCAAGCTGCATATCCCGCGCCACACTTGCCGTCTCCGGGGTTTGCACCAGGCGCTGCCCCAGCACCACCTGGCCCAGGGCAGGGATTTTCCATGATGGGTCCAGCTCCCATGCAGATGCAAGACCCGCGCATGAATCGTGTGGGCGCTTCTCCCTTTGCTCTCCCTCCAGCTGGAGCACCTCCTGGAACATTGCCTCGGCGTGATTTGCCTCAAATCTATACATTGCTTGAAATTTTGACGACCTGGTGAATAAATTGAGACATGCATGTTGAGGTTTGTTGAATGCCGGTGTTGCATTTGGTGAGAAAGTGGCTGGTTTGTTGTACGAATCAGATTTCAGCCCAGGTGGCCACGCTAATGCCAAGTCTGCCCCGAAGGCTGGCGACATGCCACAGCAGCCGGGCGCTGCCAAGCGACGCGCCAGGACCACCACGGCCGGCGAGGTCCAAGCCTCCACGATGGCAGGTGTGGCAGAAGCCGACTTGGACGCTGCATTGGTTGGGATCAGTGGCGTGCAATTCAATGGATTTGTGCTGCAAGATCTGCCAATCGCAGACAAGCTTGTTTCCAGTCAGCAAGATGTTCTGTCAATGGCGGTGATGTTTCCTGACTTGCATGTAACGCATGTAGCCCAGGCTTTGATTGGCCGACTGACTGGTCGATATGCAGAGATGAAGCCATTGAGAGGAGACAGCAGCTCGGCTTATCAGTGAATCCCTCCGAGTGGCGCTCCTGAATGCTTCCTTTGGCTTCCTCTATCCCTAACTTACACGTGCCAATTCCAAGGTAGCAAGTTTGCGGAGAACATGACTTCTGAGTACCTTCGGCGAGTTTCCATCGGGAAAGCGCCGGCAGAATGCATCTTGGCATTGAGAAATTATGAACGACGTGTCTGCATGGTTGCTCAGAGTCAGTCAATGACAATTTGAAAGACGGTATCTGCATGTCTGTTAAACTTGCAGCTTTGAGCGTGGTGTTATTTCATTTTTGGGAAGAAGAGATGACGTTGCGCAAATCTAAGTCAATGGAGAGACGTTGCTGCTGGAGTGCAAGAAGGAGGAGGAAGAGATCCAGAAACTTCTCTCCAGTCTGCACATCTACCCTCACCAGTCGGGTGCGATGGTGGTCAGCAATGGCACGAATCACGCGTTCCTGCCTTCGAGCCCAACCCCGTGGATGCAGAAGATTTTCATGAGTCGTGAGTTGGCATCTTAATTGACAAGCCGCAATTTGTCCGAGTATGTGATTCCCCTCTTCCCTTCATTCCTTTTTTCTCTCATTCTCGCATTTTTGCCTTCAGAGGCCGGCGCGTCCCTATGTCTCCAATGGGCTGCAGAACAACTGGTTGTCAGATTTCATTCCTGTCCCTCAGCTGCCGGGAGGAGAGCAGCAGAGCGGGGATTTGCGGACGTCTGACAGAAAGCCGGCTGTTGAATCTGATCATGACACTACCCGTGGCGCTTCGCCAATGCGCAGCCTGAAGAGTGAGAGCATGTTTGGTGACATGGCCTGCCCGTTTGCTTTGCTATATGATGAGAACGGTCAGGGGCAATTGCTTGAGATTTGTAGCCAGAGCTTCACTGTAACCAAGAAGGCCTTGCTTGCCCCAAACCCGTCGCAAGATTTCCAGCTTCGCCAGAGCATGGATGGGTCCTGGTTCGTTTCCAGCGCAGCATTGCAAGCATCGCATTGGGCTGCCTGGTTGCATTCACCCGGTTTTTGATCAAGCTTTTCAAACAACGCATGCTGCATGAATGTATATATTCTGTACCTCGCATGTCGTGCACGTTTGATGGCATGTCAGCAGAGCTTTGGTGTTGCTGGATGTTGGAATAGCTAAGTGTGCGGAAGTCCTGGCGGCCCCGCAGCGTGGCGAGCAGCCAGACAAGCGCCGCCGCCTCCAGCCCCATCTTTCTCTTACTGCGAATGCTGATGACGATCCTTTGCTTGATTTTCAATATTTGATTATGAGTGGCAGGTTGGCGCCCTTTTTTTTAAGCCTAGCCCAACAGTATAACCTTCCTTGTTTTTGCGATACTGGCTTGCGTGACCCAAGGATTCACAGAGAACCTTGACGCTTGGCGAAGTGGCGGACGAACCAGACGCAACGGTGGGTCCAAATCCTACTTCGCCTCCACCCCCTGTGACAGTGGCAAGCGCGGCGGCTGTGCCCACAGATGTTTCTGCTGCAAAGGCAGCTGTTTATTGAGTTTTGTATCAAACCTATGCATGTTGTCAAATTGTAAGCTGAACTCTGCTGTTTGTGATCTGGGGCCTTCCAACCGATGATCACATTTTGGAAGAATAGGGTAAGCCAAGTTTCTGACCCACCGCCGCGCAAGGCCGCTCCAGCTGTGGCTTTGCAACCAGCCGCCAAGATGGTCGCTATTCCCAAGATTTCACCAGCTGTGGGGACGGCGCTTCATGGCCAAGCTCGAGGTGAATCTGCCGAGCCTTCTGCGGCTGCTTTTGTGGAAAGCCTTGCCAGCGCTGCAAAAGCCGCGCCGCCACCACCACCGGCCACGGGCGAGGCTGGCACAGCACTGCCAGTGCCGCCGCCTGCAGCTGCTGTGGCCAAGGGCGTGGCCAAGGGAGGGGTTATTGCTTTGGAGTGAGAGACCTGACCTGGGAAAGCAGTTTCCACACCAGACCTCCCATGTTGGAAACCAGTGCTGCGTCTTTCAGGGGAAATTTAGGGGTACCAGAGATTTCCTCGAGTTTTTTCGGGAAAATCTCTGGTACCCTTAATTCTTCGGTTGGGGCTTGCTGATGGGTACCAGCCCGGCTTGATTTTTTTCCTCCTTTTTCCGGCACTCTCCCCCCTTCCCGCTTTACACCTTCCCTCACTGTTTGCCAACCCTTTTCACCTGAGGCCTTCTTGTCTTCCTTTGGCCGTCCCTTCCAATCCTACCTTCCCGTCCCCGACCTGCTAGGGCTCACCTGGATGCTCCCAGGATCACTGCCTCGCTACCATGAAAAAATTGCAAGGCGCTCGTACTGAAAGGCAATGGCTCAAAGCCTTGACCATGGCATAGTGTATTCACATATGTTGCGTAAGCGTGCAAATGTTGGAAGGATGTTTCATGTTTCCCCAACAGCAAAACTTTGCTTTGGGGTCTTTGGCGCAGATTAGCTGCGGCGCACTCCGGTGCAGCTTCAACAGCAGGTTCCGGACAAGGTTCCGGAGGGGTCTGGTGCAGATACCTCGTAAGGTTCCGGAGGGTTCCGGTGCAGATACCTCGTGAGGTTCTGGAAGGTTCCGGTGAAGATACCTGCTAAGGCTCCCGAGGGTTCTGCGCGGTTCCCGTGCAGATACCTTGTGACGTTCCGGAGGGTTGCGTTGCAGATACCTTGTGAAGTTCCGGAAGTTTCTGGTGCAGGTACTCGGTGAGGTTCCGGAGGGTTATGGCGCAATGGTTCCAGAAGGTTTTGGTGCGGGACCTGGTGACGTTCCAGAAGTTTCCGGTGCAGCTACCTGATGAGGTTCCCGAGGGTCTAGGTGAAGATGCGTGGTGAGGTTCTGGAGGGTTCCGGGGCAGATACCTTATGAGGTTGCGGAAGGTTCGGGTGCAGAGACCTTGTGAGGTTCCGGGGGTTTTGGCGGAGAAGATGTTTGGTGAGGTTTCGGAAGGTTCCGGTGCAGATACCTTTGAGGTTCAGGAGCGGTCTGGTGCAGATGCTTTGTGAAATTCCAAAGGGTTGCGACGTTTTCTTATGGCATAAGCATTTGAAATTTATTGCATAAGTGCATAGATTTATATGTTTTTACGGCATAAGCAATTTTTGTTGCAAAAACGCAGAAGGTTTCAAGCGGTTGGGGATAGCACCTGAGTCTATTTTTACCGTCGCGCATTGCAATGTTGATTGAACTGATTCCCTGATGCCTTGATTCATACCTAGCACGAAGTTCAATCATGAGCCCAACAAGATCCTACATCAAGCATATTACCCGGACACCGTCAATTTGCAGATGAATTTTGCTGGACACTGGAGCTAAATTCTTGAATTGAGTGTTTAGTTTTGGGTTAAACAGCAGCATTATCTTTCCTATCTGGTACCCATCAACCCACAAATCACATTTTTTAGCGGGGGTTGTCGATGGCCAAGTGTAAAGGGGTCTGATGTGAGACTGCGGCCCGTCGGCGCCGGACGCCCTGATGTGGCGCCATGTCTTTTTGATGCCTGTGGTGGTGAGAACGTCAAAGGAAAGAATGTTTTGAAATCCCTGCATGGTATAATTTCGTTTAACAGTTTCGCTAGCTAGCAGTGACTCAATGACCGCCACTCGTCTCGTGTGGTGATGGCTTCTGCGGCTGTTCGGGGATGAAGTTCCCTGACGTGGTTTACAAGCAAGATTAATAGATGTTTTCGAGCGCTCGTGCTTAAGAATTGCTGCAAGCCCATCCGCCGAGCTGAGGGGAACTTGCCTCTTGAGAACCGCGATGCTGTCTGTGTTATTCTCATAACTTGGAAGGTGTTGGTCAAACAGGGGCCAGAGCGTTGATACATCGACAGTATCGTAGGGGGTCTTCCGCACAAGGCCAAGGCTCACGCACAGTTGGCTTGAACGCGACGTGACCGGCGCAAGAAACCTCAAAAAAGGGATCCAGCTCCATCACTCGTGCAGGTGGCCGTACGCCACCATCTTTCTTCTTGCTGCTGCTTTGTTTGAGCGGATTGCTTGTGACTTTGCACCGAATTTTTAAGGTGCAGAGCGGGCACATTGACCATGATGACATGGAAATTCAAAATGAGCGAGATGACCAAGCAAGGTTGGCGATGACTGTCGCTGAAGCTAGTTTGCTACAGGAACATTTTGAATCCTGCCCTGCGGGGCCCTGATTGCACAATGCCACTGAAAGCTAGCTGATAATCCTGGCGACCGCGCAGTCCACGCATTCCGTGTACACACACACACCACACACACACACATATATATATACATATATATATACATATATATATACTGTTTTATTTATGGATTTATTGATTTATTTATTCATGTATTTATTTACCTGAAATGTATTTATAGCTATATTTAGATATGTATGTTCAGACAAAAAGTGTGGACATTTGTTTGGTTTCAAGTTGTTTGCCACCTAGCCAAATGTGACCAAGATTCAACCAGCATGACTTTCAAGAACTGTTTGTCAATTGGCTACTTGCATGTCCTTTTCCCTTTCGCTGGCATTGAGTCTAGCCCACCGAGAAACTGGAGAAAGAGGGAAAGATTGTGGAGGGCAGCTTGCGCAATGCAAAGAAGCATGCTCGCTTCAAAAAGTATGAGCCATACACCGCTGTGAGAGGTCTGCTGGGAGCTGTACAGCATGGAGCCGGAGTCGACCTGGCTGACCACTTTCCGCGGCCAACCTCCCCGGATGTACCCCGCAAGTTATCTGATTTGGAGGACAAAGGAGCTTTGGTTCTTCTTTCTGATCAAGAGAAGGCGCAGTTGCTTGACAGTGCTGAATTGTGGCTGTTCATCAATAGGTTTTTGCCTGCCAGCATCTGGTGAGTCTATGTCTCATGTGCTAGCTCAGAAATTGAACGGGAACAGAGCAAGGGGATTCTACGCTTTGAAGCCTGCAGTTTCCTAGCTGTAGAGGTAATCAGACATGTGGACACTCTTTGCGCAAATTCAAGATTTGCTTGGCACCAAGCTGAAAAGCATGACTCGGTGCTGAGGACCGCGTGGATCCATACTTTGCTGTACAGTCTGGGCATGCGAGCGGTTTTCAAGAGCGATGTTGTTCATCGGATTTCCAATGACTCCAACCTGCCCACAAACCACCTTGGCCTGCAAGGCCCGCATATGGCCCCAGGGGTGTTTGGTATGTTAGAGCTCTGTTGCTTTACGGTTAGAGTTGTTTGAGGTTCAAGGTCTTCAACGTCAATCTATATGCAGATATCAGATATCTCTTGAGACTGGCCTCTGTATGAGCTCCATTCACACCCAGTCCGGCATGTCTTTGAATATATGTCGCATGTCTCCGGTCTCCGCATCTTTTGTCAGGCGTTCTGGCTTGCACGAGGCTTGCAATGTCAGTGCGAAAGAAACCTTTCAAGACGGGTGAATTTGGCGCAGAATTGGCAGCGCATGCGCTCCATTGGTTGCAGCTCCATTCCCCCCGACTCTGAAGAGTTTCAAGCTTGCATTTTGATAAGAATCCCACAATGGTAAACCTTTGCTCGGTAACATGGAGTGCTATATGAGGTTTGCCGGCAACGCGGATGATATGAAGGCGGACCTGCTGCAACCGCACTTAACGAACGAGGAGCTCCACCAGCTTCTGCTTGAGAGCATCGGGCACTGGAATGTTCAAGAGGCGAAGTATCGCCCGAACAAAGCACATTCATCGGGTGTCTTTCTCATGTTTGGTGGACGTTACTTTCGGATGGGTGAAAGTGTTTGAAGCACCAATTGATTGTGGCTCCCTGAAAGGTGAAGCTCAGCCGTTTCTTCGAATGGTCAGGTCGTTGGAAAGGGTTTGCTAGGTTTTGGACGTTCCTACGACTGATCCACACATCCTTGCAAGCGTTGAAGGCTTCATCGGTGGATGTCGAAGATGGCGACCAAGACCTGCAAGACCCTCCAGAAGAGGCTGCTGGTGGTGGACTTAGCGGCCCTAAGGACCTTCTGCAGAAGCTCAGGGCTATGCAGCAAAAGAAGCCAGTGATGGACGTTGTCTGCAGCGTTTTGCAAGATGACCAAATCCGAAAGCTTGGCTGGTTGAGCCTTGTCTGCGCAGCTGTGACAAGAATAATATTTTCACAGACAGAGATATAGCTTTAAATGGCTGAGGCAAATCACATTGTATTGCAACCTTGCCTCCCCGAAGTTGCTAGCAGCAAAGGGCACAGCGGATTTGAAATACATCAGTATAGAGCAGTCTGTCGCATTCTTTCATTGCGCAGCCAGGGTCTTCGGTTAGACATGTTTGCAATTTGAAGACATGTTATGTTTGATATGGCTAATCAATTCCCTATAACAGAATTTCAGCTTTGGTGAGCTCTCCTTGTTGCCGATTCCTTCAGGATCTGGTCGTCGCGAATTGTATTGCAGCGATCTTACCAAACACTGCCTGAGCAGCTCTCCTCGAATGAGAATGCGGCACGAGACCTCCAGATTAACTGGGCCAACAGGCACTGGGCTGCTGAGATCGGCAACATTTTCCTTATGCTGGGCAACGAAGAAATCCTCCATCGCTTGGGGTTGCTTGCTGGTGCAGATGATGTTGCTGAGACCAACCGCATGGCCAAAATGCTGGGTGAGATCCTTGTCAGGACAGCCAGCCAGCGTTGCTGGACAATGGCTAGCTGGTCTGAACTACCTCCTTTGAACTGGTCCTCAGTCTTGTCCCAAGACCCTGAGGAGGCAAGAGCCGGCTTGGATCGGATTCGTGGAGACCAAGAATCGGTTGAAGCTGCATGGTCCTACCTGAATTCTGCAGATTTTCATGAAGAATCTCAGGCAGGAAATCGAATATCAGTCGAAAGGACTTGCGTCGCAACATCATATATATATAGTGAGCGGTTGGCTTAAGATTTGTTTCCTTGCTTCCTCAGGGCTCACGACTTCGACCATGATTTCACCCAGTAATTTTTCACTAATAGGGTTTGCTTAGCCTTTGTCCGTTTTGTTTTGCTGAATTGGCAATGTTTCTAACTCGCTCCGCTCCTTTTCAGCTTCCTATTCATCTCTCCTGCCTGCGGCTGTCATAACTTCTTTGTTTGGGCTGTTCGTGGCATGTTGGTTTGTCAGTGTGTGTGTGTTATGTTTGCACTGTTTCTTGCTTCTGAGTCGGCAGATGGTTTGCTGTAGGATTTGCCTCTTGGGCTCGCCTTTCCCTAAGCATTCTTGTTGCCTTCTTCAGGCCCAAAAAACATGAGAATCGCTTGCCCGCAGACCAAGCTTTGTGGATTAGAAACAAGGAGTACGCAAAAGCGTAACAGAATAAGCTCACAGCAAATTTGAATCTACCCGTTGCAGGGCTTAAAGTTTGCCTTCGACAACTTGTGGGTCCACCGCTTGACGTTGGTGCAAGAATCTGGGCGTGTTGTGAGTCAAGTGTTTGTTTTCATTGAACATGGGCAACGCTATGCTCCAAAACCTACTTTGCACATGGGACCGATGATGCTTGTTGCCAGGGTCGTCTCAGAATGTCTGCAGGAAACATGGCAACATTGCCGGCATTTTGGATGGCATCCAGACTCCTATTACAACCACTTTTGGAGACTAGCATCAACTTTGATCAGTACAAAGGACCTACTCGAGGACGTGTTTGCAGACATTGCAGACCATGAAGAGCGAGACAAGAAATCATCCACTCCCATGATGCCCGAGACAGTTTTCTTCTATAACACCATGTCAGAAAGGCTTGGCAACGTCCCTTTTCTGCAGATTCAGGCCGGCGACTTCACTTCCGCGGCTGCTCGCAAGTTTTCAGCTGGCCGGGGAGAGACGTTCGGAGAAAAGTTCAAGATCAAGAACGCCGTTACTGAGAAAATGAAGGAGTGTTGCAAGCATCGTTTCTTGCCAGCCTTGTCAACCTTTAAATTGCTTTTGTTGCCCCCCAAGAAGGATGTTTTCTTGTACAAGGTAGTTCCCTGGCTTGCTGGGCCTGGAAACTTGTTAGATATGTCCGGGCGGTATCTTCCCTAGGTGATTCGAGCAGCGCTGTGAAGCCAAGTGGCCAAGCAGCTGACTTTCGCTCAATTGGCGCTATGCTTGCCCTTCGTGAGCTCGGCCCATCTCGTTTCCATGGGATTGGGGGGTGTTGGGTTGGATGCCTACTACAAGAAGGCATGGTCTACCGGCACCTGTCCAGCAAGAAGGTTTACCTTTCCCTGGGGTTTCAGCATCAAGCCCTATTCGGATGGGAGCTTGAAGAGCTGGAGGACCGAAGCTTGTGCAAACTCCGTGTCCTGTTTGTGTTAATACTTGAGCCGCTAAAATTGGAAACAAGGTTGATTTTGGTGTGATTGATTTTGGCCAAAGATAGGATGAGACCAATGGGACTTTCTTCTTCCTTGCCGAGTCACGCATGACCGTGCAACAGTTTATCGGCAAGTTGGAGCCAATAGTTGCGCATGAGCTTGGGCAGGGGAAAGAAGCTTTTGCAGGCGTTCCATGTGTCTGGAGTGTCTCTCCCTTGCCTAGGCAAACCTTTGCTGAAAACCTCGCCTTTCACCATCTTTCTGCCAACCTTGTTTGGTTTTATTGGTGCAGTCGCGTATTGAACTTTGACCAGCCAAGGTCCTCCATGCACCAGGACCTGCCGTGAGCAGGATGGGGTGGTGCTGCGAAAGGATGGGGACGAGTCTCTTTTGCTCCCTTTCTGGTTGCGCTATGGGGTGTTGAATCCCACCATCAAGGCGCACTTGCCAAAGCTCATCTTTGCTTCTGGTGCGCCACTCTTGAAATACAATGAGAAGACCGTGGGCGTCAAAAGCAGGTTGAATCTTTACCAACAATGGTCTTTTTTTCCCCACAAAATTGTGTGGGGTTCTTGTTTTTAAATCTGTACCTTCCGCCTCCGCTTCCCGCCTCCGCGTCCTCACACACACAACTGCTTCACACACAACTTTGTTACCCACACATCATCTTTGTCACACCATCCACACACCATCGCTTGGCGACATCCACCGTCGTTTCACGTGGCAGGCGTGGCACTTGGCGACATCCACCTTCGTTTTGCGTGGCAGGCGTGGTACTTATGACACTTGGCTGGGTCTGGTGACGCGCTTGGTCCCCGTTGGTCGCCCGTGACGCCGTGCCACTTTGCGTGGCAGGCATGACACTTGGCGACACCCACCTCCGTTTTGCGTGGCTGGCGTGGCGCTTGGCGACATCCACCTTCGTTTTGCGTGGCAGGGGTGGTACTTGTGACGCTTGGCTGGGTCTGGTGACGCGCTGGTCGCCCGTGACGCCGCTCCACTTTGCGTGGCAGGCATGGCACTTTGTGACATCCACCGTTGTTTCACGTGGCAGGCGTGGCACTTGGCGACATCCACCTTCGTTTTGCATGGCAGGCGTGGTACTTATGACACTTGGCTGGGTCTGGTGTCGCGCTTGGTCCCCGTTAGTCGCCCGTGACGCCGTGCCACTTTGCGTGGCAGGCGTGGCACTTGGTGACATCCACGGTCGCTTTGCGTGGCAGGGGTGGCACTTGGCGACATCCACCTTCGTTTTGCGTGGCAGGCGTGGTACTTATGACACTTGGCTGGGTCTGGTGACGCGCTTGGTCCCCGTTGGTCGCCCGTGACGCCGTGCCACTTTGCGTGGCAGGCATGACACTTGGCGACACCCACCTCCGTTTTGCGTGGCTGGCGTGCCGCTTGGCGACATCCACCTTCGTTTTGCGCGGCAAGGGTGGTATTTGTGACGCTTGGCTGGGTCTGGTGACGTGCTTGGTCCCCGTTGGTCGCCCGTGACGCCGCTCTACTTTGCATGGTAGGCGTGGCACTTGGCGACATCCACCGTCGTTTCATGTGGCAGGCGTGACACTTGGCGACATCCACCTTCGTTTTGCGTGCTAGGCGTGGTACTTATGACACTTGGCTGGGTCTGGTGACGCGCTTGGTCCCCGTTAGTCGCCCGTGACGCCGTGCCACTTTGCGTGGCAGGCATGACACTTGGTGACACCCACCTCCGTTTTGCGTGGCTGGCGTGGCGCTTGGCGACATCCACCGTCACTTTGCGTGGCCATCTTTCACACACAACTTTATCACACACACACACACAACTTTGTCACACACACACACACATCTTTGTCACACACAAATTTGCCACACACCATCTTTCACACACCTCTTTGTCACACACCATCTTTCACACACACCGTTTTCACACACCATCTTTGTCACACACCTTCTTTCACACACCACTTTGTCACACACCTTCTTTCACACACCACTTTGTCACACGAAACTTTGTCACACACCGTCTTTCACACACACCTTCTTTCGCACACATCTTTGTCACACACCTCTTTGTCACACACCTTCTTTCACACACCACTTTGTCACACACCTTCTTTCACACACCGCTTTGTCACACACCTTCTTTCACACACCACTTTGTCACACACCATCTGGCACACACAACTTTGTCACACCGTCTTTCACACACACACAACTTTGTCATACACAACTGTTCAGATACAACTTTTCGATCGATCCTCCACCACCTCCTTTGTCTATCCTTCCTTCCTCGTCCCACTTGAACTTTTTGTGTCTGCTTACTGGAAGAAGTTGACTTGTGGGGTTATTCGGCCCTTTAATTTTGAAGGCTTTCTCCACACTTCGGCCCCGTGGACCGTTACCTTAGCTAAGGATGTCCTTGATCAAACACAGCTTCCCGGATATGGATGAGGTGCGTCAAGCGGAGGTTCTGGATCGTTTGTTGCAGTCAGACGCCACAATCAAATCCAAACTCATCCGGCCAGACTCTCTCAAAGACGTGCTGGTAGAAATGGATGGGACCACCGACGGAAAATTGTTCACTGACATGAAAGATATGCTAGACCAAGAAGATCGAGAAACATTTATCTTGACGCGCTTTGCAGCCCCACGGGCTGCCGCAGAAGCTGCTACTCCATGGTACATAAAGAACTTGAGGCCTCCCATGACCAAGTGCTACCTGACCTGGCAGGTTGCCACAAAGTCTTTCCAAGGCTACTACCCCAAAACTTTGGATGAGAGCCAGCGAAAGAATCCCAAAGTCAAGACACATTGGTCAACATCTCGGACATTTGGAGAGAAATGGACTACTGAGCAGGCACTCACGCAAGTCGTTCGTTTCCTGTGGGGAAAGCACAAGAAAGGTGGCCACGCCGCCCGTCATTGCCTGGGAACATTTTGACTTTGCTTCTTCCTAAACACCATTTTGAACATGTCTTCTTGATAAGATGAAGCATTGACCAGAACCTTACAAGGGACACTGACCTGCGATGTTTCAATGTTTTTCTCACATGTTGCACCTTTTCTTCTCTTCGCTGCTACCGCTTAGGAATGCTCTTCGGAACCCAACAAGCAGAAAATTTCGGATGGTTTGGAAAAGGCATCCATGGTGCTGGAGGGGACGATCGAGGATTGCCAGCCAGATGTTTTGGAGGACGCGCCTGATGACAAGACTACTGATGAGGTCATGTCAAAGAATGCAGAGGAGGTGCCGGAACGGGAAACATCGAATGAAGGAAATGGTGGCCAAGTCCAAGCCATGTCTTCCAGCTCAATTTCTGAGTCTGATTCTTCGGGCGATGGTGACCCTGACGGTGCAGCTGCCTCTTCTTCCAAAGCCAAAGGGAAAAGTCAGAAGTCAAAAGCAGAGCCCAAGAAGGGCGCTGCAGCAAAAGGAAAGGCTAAGGCCAAGAACAGACAGAAACAAACTCCAAAAAATGAGCCTGCACCCAAGACAGGCGGAACCAAACGAAAATTGCAGGAATTAGATACCAGCAGCGTTGTGATCCCCAATCACATGAAGGTGAAGGCTGCCTTTGGGGATATCAAGCGAAAGCCAAAGTGAGTTTCAAGTTTCACGTGGAAAAAAAACTTGTCAGCTGCATTGCCAGTCGGGCATTTCCTTTGCGCAGTTTCATCCATGTTCTGGTCATCAATATTAAGCATTTCAATTTTAAGGCCTAATTAGCCCTATTTAAGCTTAATTTAGCCGACCCTCTAGAGGTACCATGGCAGAGGTACCAGATTTTGCGTTTTGAAAACGGTTGAGTGGGCACAACTACTGTGCTGAATGCACACGGGGATGAACAAATCAGGTCTTGGTAGCCAATGTGACAACAGGGTCGCGGGCAACATTTTTGCACGGGCCTGGTTGGCAGTAACTCGCCCATTCCATGAATTACTTGACGCTTTGATCTTATGTTTTTTTTTTTGCATTTCCTCGGACAAACATTGATTTTTTTTATGTTTTTTTTCCCCATTATTTTGGTGTTTTTTTGTTTTCATTGACAATGAAACGGATATGACGGCAGCAAACATTTGTTTTGTCATTGTTTGTCATGGAAAACGTATAAAATTTGTATTGAATTCTGGGGTGTGAGGTCTTTGTCAATGAATGAAAATTGCGTAAATGGTTTGTGGCAATGTGCATGCCAAGGCACAATTTCATAATGCTGTTTTTTTGCTCAAGACGATTTCAAACATGTGAAAAACACTCACTATCGATGGGACGTCACCTGTCCACAAAGCGGGGAGCAACCAGGGTTTCAACAATGTGATGGCGATTTAAATTCAATGGCATTGAATTGATTAAAAATTCAGCAGTCAATTGCTGCAATCTGCAGCTTTGGATTACCAATATTGTAATCCCGAAACCAAGTCGAGAGGAACACGTGACGTTTTACCGAATTTCGAACGTACCACAATGCCCTTTTTTATTTTTGTTTTTTTTCATCGTTGGCAGTATTTTGGTTGCTGACCGAATTTTACTTACTGATTCTTGGATCTTTGCTTCAATTGGTCAACAAAAACAACAAATAAATGTAGTGATGAACACCCGTGCTCGCCATGTCCAGACGAACTTGCAACATTGCTTGGTGGGAGAACCACTGATGTGTTTGGGATCCCAAAAATGTGGGTGTTGTTTGACAAACCGTTTACACCCAATTGAGGTGATGACATTTGATCATGTCATTATGTCATCTCGCCACTTTCGTAGGCATTTTTTGTTTCAACCGCTGGATTCACAACTGCATGGTGTTGCACATGGACATCATGGATGATTTGGAAATTACGGGGTCAAAAAGGAAATATTACATTGCCATTTTTGTAATGGCACAGTCACAACACCTGTTCATAAATTCAATCGTTGAACGGTTCAAGATTGGGTTCCCACGCCAAAACATGTTTTAATAACAAAAAATATCAAAAAATGAAATTGATCTATGAACAGATGATTTCCATTTCTCACTTAGTGTCTTGATCAAAATAAAACTAACCAAAACAAATTCATTGCATGCAGATTTGCAATTTTTGGAAATACAGACGAACCTTCCCTTTCTGAAATAATTTTGCCAATTTGTCCTTTTTGCAGTTTCAAAATCCCGGTGGAACTGGGGTCTCGAGGCATTTTGGAGGTTTTGACAGAGACAGCGGGAGAGGCCGCAAACTTCAGCACTGTGTGTGGGAACCTGGTGTAATAGCCATGCAATTCCGTTGCTGTACATGGGGAAACCCCACTTAACCAAATTTGAATTGGTTGCGTCTTTGAATAATTCATGCACCGCTGGCTTGGTTCAATCTCCAGTTTTTCTAGTCGCATTTGTTAGCAGGCTGTATTTGCTGTGTATAATGTTTTTGAATGCATCACAAAAGGTTTTCAAATTTCAAACCGCCATTTCTTTCAAAACTAGTCACAACTTTGGTTTGCAAGTTGCCGGATTTCACCATTGAAATCGATTTGTGAAACACGAACTGTGAATATCAAAGTGAAATTCCTTATTCATAAAAAAATGACATATAGCACTTCACTACCCTTGGTCCATGAAGCAGGATCCATCCCCTGGCGTCTGAGGCCGAGATGTTTACCAGCGACTTTGGGTGGAGGTCCACCAATTTTTTTTCAAAATTCACTGGCAGAATCTTTCTAGATTCCAACGAAAAAGGATCCCAGAATCCCAGTTCTTCCTCTCTGTATTCTTGTGGACATTGATAAGATTTTGTCTCTTCTCTTCTTTACTTGCAAAGTTGATCCGGTGGACTCTCAAGTTTCAAGCAAAGACTCGCCTTGAAAGTCTCGGAACCTTGCAAATTGAGTACCCTTTTACTTTTCATAACAGTCCGTTTTTGTTGTGAGAACAATTATTGTGTCTGAATGCACCGGAAAAAACAGTGAGGACAATCATTGTGAACGAAACAGTGCTTGTTCTTGAACAAACAACCCTCTCTTGCTGGACGGTGGACGCGGCAGCAGACATTCCCCTTCTTACCTTTAGCCATCCACTGGATAAAATCAGAAATGGCGCAAACAAGCAATGCTACGAAAAAACAAGGAGAATTTTCACAGCTTGTGAAAACCTATGATTCAACTAGTAACTATTTCAAATTTCATCCATGGACGCATTTGTTCCAATATGCAGGAATCTTTGGCCGAGACAAAGCGAAGTGCAGAGGGGAAGAGGTAGCAGCCTGGCGGGTCCAGAAATGCAATTTTTCATTGGGCAAATGACGATAAACCATGATAAACCATTGGATTTTAGGGTGCCCATTTGGGAAGCCAGTCACGCGACCCCATGTGCAAAAAGAGTTGCTGCGTTGTCCACTGCCTCAATGAAGTTTGACAAACCATTGGTTTTTGGGGTGCCCATTTTGGCATAACCCCAAATGGAGATGTTTCTTGCCATTTTTCTGTGACTACGAGATTTGTGTCGGATTTGGCACCACACTATATCAGTAGCCAGCACATAATTGTATCCACGGCAATACAGTTTGAACATTTGTTGATGCGGAGGAGTCGGAGGATGGTGCACAAAGCTGTTTCGCCAGGTTGCTGACGCCGGTGTGTTGTATGCAAGCCCATACTAGCCATCGCAACATCAGCCGAATCAGCTGCTTGGGCTTCAAGGGCTGCATCCATCGAAGAGCATAGTGTGGCATAGATAGTTTTGCTAATCCAACAGTTTTTTCTGGAACATGGTGAGTACCACAAGTTAGGTAGGATAGTTTGCAACGGGATTTGGCAGCGGACTGCTTGAAAGAAATGAAGGAAGGTCCTTTCATGATAACGCTAGGACTTTGAGTTGGATTATGTGCGCTGGTTTGTCCCCATCTACAATTTTTGATGTTTTTTTTTGTCTTCACATCAGGTAAAAACGCATTTGTAAAAAATCGACCCCAAGCCGATACTTGTCTGGTGCGCTGATTGTGCAGATGACGACGATGACGATGACGATGACGATGACGGTGACGACGATGACGATGACGATGACGACGACGACGACAATGACGACGACGTTTATGATTATGATTATGATTATGATGATGGTGATGGTGATGATGATGGTGATGATGACTATGACTATGACGACGACGATGATATGATGATGACAAAAAAATTTGAACAATGACGAACAATGATGTTGAAAATTGATGAATGAAAATTCCTGTTGTTACTTCGTGATTCTCAAGAGTCTGAGGTGCAAACTCCCTCCGAAGAGTGTCTTTGCTTGAAACGTCAGCTTTGTCCCTTCCAGGCCGTGGTTAGGGCGGTTAGGGGTGAGACTTTTCGCTGCGTTTTTTTAAATAAATATTTGACCCATCTCATTCAGGATCATCTGATGATCATCTAGGGTGGCTGTATGTTAGATTGACGAAGAGCACTGTAGCTGAAAGCTGGTTTTAGCCACTACCTTTGTGCTGTAAATTCTGTAGGTTGTGAATCCTTGCTTTAAGGCAAAATTCTATCGGATCACAAAGTGCATGCTGCAGCTTGTTGAGAGGTGCTCAACCAAAAGACACGAGATGTCAACTCCTGTCATTCTCCCAATCCATCCCATTTGGAAAAGTGAGTGGTAGGCGATAAGCGTGGCTGGACAGTCTTTGGCATGATTCAAGTCAAAGTGTTGTCTTTCCTGGCTCGGAAGATCCTAGACCATAGGAACTTCAGCACGCTTCAAAACTTCAAACTGATTCCGGCACCACTCTGCCGACGCAGTCTGATTCTGAATCATTCTTCTACTGACTTGGATGCCTTCAATCTCTATTCTTATCATTTTTTATCCACGTCCACATGAAATTTCATGTTCAGCACCAGGTTGCCCTTGGCTTCCCTTGGCATCTGCAGAGACTCTCCAGCACTTGGTGATCTCAATGACAAGGCCTGACGAGCAGGTGCCTTGGCTGAGCTTGTTGGCCTCAATCTACACAACCCACTAATAGTGGATAGTACAGATATGTGAAGGTGAACAGGGTAGCTAAACTATTGTGATTTGTGGAGCTAGATTTCCCAATCTGAAACCTCGTTAGAGTATGTAAACAAGGGATCTTCCGAAACGTGAGCCCTAAGAGTGCTTTGATGTTCTTTGCTACTTTTCACCCTTCAGCTGTTCAACGGAAATGGACGTGGCTCAACGAGGATCACTGGGCGGCGATTCTGGAAGCCATCGCAGGAGCAGCAATCTTCAGGTCACACTGTTTTTGTTTGGGTTCAACCCATATATATATATATATATTATTATATATATATTATTATATATTATATATATATTCCTCTTCGTTTTCAACACATTTCCGATTTGGACTTTCATCCTCTGAAGTGTTAGCTGTTTCTGCTGGTGACACTGCCACGCCAACTTCTGTCATCCTGTGCTTCCTGTACAAGTGGTTGTCCACACCAGAAACCTGCTCTGTAAGTAGCTGATGCCGACTCATACCTCTTAATTTCTTCAGTGAATCCTAATTTCCTTTGCAGCACTAGAGCAGTTGATTCCGGTCTGCTTGGAGATTGCTTGAGCCTTTACTAGTGCTAAAAGTACTATAGTCATCTATAGTCCACATGCCATTTTGGAAGCATCTCGCAATTCAGTGGCATGTCTCAAAAAGGGGGTGACCCTTGATCAAGTCATCCCTCAAATGCCCTGCGATTGGCATTCTGACTGGGACCACAAATCTCGTCAGTCATGTCGCTGGAATTTGCCATGAGCCGAGGGGTTCTGTAATGGTACCATCGTTCTGTATGGTTGTCCAATGGATTCCGCAGGATGAGCAAACAGTTGATCCACTGTGGCCATAATCGATGGTTCTCCAGTTGGGTATGGGTTTTCCAGACCAAAATAGTTTTTTTTTTTGAGAATGCTCATTTCCCTAAAAATCATAGGTTGAGCCGTCCTAAGCCATCCCCACTGGTCCACGATTGGTCAGGCTGAAGCGCTTTGAGCTCCATGGTCTGAGCTTCCAACCTCGATTCTTCCAGCTGCTGGCAAAGCGTTTCGCCACTCTTGGGTGACACGGCGCCAAAATTTGGGCCCCAAGTGGCCTTTGAACATGGGCCATCACGGACCATGGGCCAGTAGCATGGTGATGCATATGAATCACATTGAATCATACTTGAGCACAAGCAGGTCAAGCAACTTTTGTTGGGCTGCCGTTGTCTTCTTCCAATGCTGAGGACTTTGCAGGATCTATGCCTTGACTTCAAAGAGACTGTCCCATCGCAGGAGGACTTCGAGGAGTTTGATGTCCCATCGCAGGAGGACTTCGAGGAGTTTGATGAGAAGTTCTGGAAAAGCCTTGAAGAGGTGCACCGCACAAGAATTTATGGCTTTCAGGTGTTCTATGCTGAATTTCTATGAATTTCTGTCCATCGTTATTCCTCACGGCGGTCAGCCGTGCAGATTTTCAGCGCTGCACCCGTCAGGCTCCGCTGCATAGCTTGCAGCTCAGCGGGCTTCACAGCGTCCACCTTTGCGGTGGTCTGCGGCGGCTGCGTGGCTTGGGGCAGCTGAGGCAATATGGCGGACTGGACACTGGACACGGCCATTTTAATGGTGACAACATGGGAAAACGATGATGAACCAGTGGATGGAATGAAGTGCCCTATTTTCACTGGGACAAACCCATATTTGATTATTGTTGCATTTGTGTGGTCCGTACCTGATCTTCAGCACTACGAATTATGCAGCTTCTGTGGTCGTTTAGGTTGGTCCTTCGGAAAGCTTGGCTTTGATGTTTTCTGATTACATGATGACATAAAAAAATACATATACATACATACAAAAGCAGTGGCAGCCAGGAATTTGAGTGCACGATTCACAATTTCAAGATTGTGGACCGTAAAATTACAGGTGTGAAGCATGCTACTTACATCTACTTACTCTCTTTGCGAGACACTAGTTGAAAACAAGGAGCAAATACACGCACGTGTTATATTCACATTTTGGGCACAGTCTTGGAAAGGCATTTGCAGCTTGGATGGGAGAGTGCTGACGCCCTGGTTTCAGAGGCGGGTACAACATGGTACAACTGCGGCAAAATTTCTAGACATGGCTTCAGTCTGGCTCCATGCCAGAAATGGGGCCCGAAACGAGTCACGAGTCTTGTGGGGCAAGGAGGAACAAGATGGAACTAAGATCATTGTTTTCCCCGTCAAGAGTGATTTCACATGATTTCACCAGCAATGGTAAGCCGGTGAGCTGGGTTGGAAGGAGGCTGGTGAAGAACTGATGGAGCTCCTGGAAGCAGGTTGGCCAGGGACAGGTCCACTCTGGTGAGCGAAGAAAAATCAAAGTGTAGAATCGTAGAATCAACAAAAAACAACTTACCATTTTATCACTGACTTCGACTGCTGCATCCGTGAAAGTGAGTAAACTCGTAGAGAAGAACTGGTTGTTACAGGCAGAATTCGAGTTTGTTTGGAAATAGGCTACCGCCAAAGCCACTGGTTTATCTACCTGAACGGTTTCATGCTGTTCCATGTATATTTTTTCTGGCAAATAAATCTTCCAGGTTTGGCCTCTGGGTCTTCCCAGCCCCATGGACAGCAAAAAACCTTCCAGCTGGAGAGTCTGGCCCTGTTTGGTCTCAGTCCGGATGCCTGAGATACGCGGGCACGCCCGGGCAACCCTTCAAGCAAATTTGAACCAAGAGATGACCAGAGCTATTTCTTCTGGCAGCGTTGGAAGGGCCGACCCCTTGATGTGAGGTGGCCATCCTAAGTTTGTGAAAGCCAGCTCTCGTATGATTTCGTATGCATCAGTATGACTTTTGAAACATCTTTGCAGCTACAATCTGTGAATGTCAGTGATTTAGTCATATTTAGTCATATTTAGTCTTAGTGGTAGAAGTGGAGCTTGCCAAGGCCGAGTTGGGAACCTACGGCTCCTGTTGGAGACTTTGCCACTGTTGCCACTCACTTCGCTGGACCTCTCCCACAACGTGGTCGGGCAGGCAGGGCATGACAGGGCAGACAGGACATGAGGGCATGGCATGGCATGGCTCGGATCACGCTGTTGGAAGTGGAGACACTCTGCAGGCTTTGTTGGAACCGTCTATGATGACCGTCCTGGAGAGCTGCCACCTCACCAAGTTGAATTTAACAGGCAGCGCTGGGGCAATGGTATTTTGTGAAGCCGAACACGTTTGTTTTGTGGTTGGTGAGACCAGAAAAGACGATCGAATTGAACTCCCTTCTGTTTTTGAGCTCATCTTTGACAATACCTCTGTGGTCTCGGCTCTATGTCCCAAACATGCCTCAAACATATGTCTCAAATGGAAACATGTCTGGCCGTGTGACTCTGAGAAAGAAAGCACCACGAATTGACTTTAATGATTGCTAGGATTTCGCATGACAATGTGTAAATGAGATACCTCACTCTTGACTCCTACAGGACCAAGAAACACTGTTTCTGCAGATGCATTTTCACTTAAGATATCGTAAGATCAAGCAGAATTGCAACCGTCTGCGACGCGACTTTTTTTCAAGGCAGCAACCTGAACCTCCCAGCTGTGCTGAACAGCGCTGCGCCCACGCTGCAAGAGCTGCGCCTGGGAGGTTGTCGAGCACCACTGGGACCGCAAGGCAGCGAGTTGCTGCAGCGTTTCCTTGGCAGCCTCGAAGACTTGCAGGTTTTGGAGCTTGGCAACTTGGGACAGGTGGGGCTGGAAATGGCTAGAAATGGCTGGAAGGTTTAGAGGAGTTGTGGAGCAAGCTTGAAGGGACCCCGTTTTGTTTGTTCAAAGGACATACGGGTCAGATAAAAATGTGATGCTACTGTAGCGTGGAGATGGGGTCAACATCCCATGCCAAAATGTGGGAGTGATGTGATCTCCAAATGGTCCAAATGAAGCTCAACACAGCGGCCACATAGGTCAAACGAGGCTCAACATGGACCTCTTGGGGCTGTGTGATGTTTATCATTTTTTCACAAAAACTGCTATTTTTGGCTGGATAGTTGCTGTACCGACTTTAAGGTTTATCCCTGAAATCTCTGGCAGTTTTTTTGCATCTGACGTCTGGCGTTCTTGCACGAGCGGCATTTTATAATGGAGGCTTGTTCACGACGAACGTCTTGCACCAGAATCTTGAGGACTCGAATCACTAAAGCTCTGCCTCAACAGCCTCTCACACCAAAAGCGTTTCAGCCAGAAGAATTTCGAACCAAATGTCCTGTGCACAACTGGTTTACACAAGGGGGAGTCCATGATTTGGACCATACCCCAATTTGCTGAGCTGAATGAGCTGTTACTTTTTTCCCACTGGCTGATTGTCCTTACAGGTAACTAACATCCCACAGAGCTCATGACGTGCACCTCCTTCTTCGAAATTATTGATCATAATTGCAAATCAAAGACCAGTCAGGTTTCCGTTTGTGTCGAATTTTACATGAATCGCCCAAAGATTGTCGATTGCAAAACATGGAGGCTTGAAACATGGCTGCCCAAAGCTGAACCTTGAAAGGTGTATTTAAGTGCATGTTGAAAGCTTTAAGGGTTTTGAGGCCGAATGGCGCGGCATGTTTTGCAGCCCCCGTTTCAGGCCCAGCCAGGGGAAAGGCAACAAGGAGGAATTGTAGCCACAATCTTCAGAAACGCTGAACCAAGGTACCAAAACCCAGCTCAAGGAAAAGCCCGGCACGAAATCAAACTGGACAATGAAATGAATGAGGAAAAAAAAAACACGGAGTGTATCCAAGCATTCCGGTTCCACGACCCCAGGAAGACCCATTGACACTCTGAACAACCAGTCCCCTGGTATTCTCTGAGACACACCGACTTTGTCTCCAATTCGGCATCGGTGATATTGCAAGGTTCAATTTGTCCTCCTCGCCAGTTCAACCACCCATGGAAACCAGGATATCTACTTTGAATCAAAAGCCAAACCCTCTCAGGAATCCATTCCCTTTTGTCAACTAGATTCAAAAAACATTCTTCCACGGACACATTTGATCTGACTTACAAAGCAAAAGGACATGAACCTGTGCAGGTTACCCCCCCTTCTTTGAGAAACGGGTTGACGGACAGCACGTGCAGCCTACCCTACTCACAACATTTATCGGGTTAAAATGGAGGACCCAGATGAAAAAACATCAGTGCGCTCCGTCAACTCGTCTTCCCAAAGAGAGGAGAATCCCACCTGCTCAACAAAAATTCGGATGAGATGCGACTGAAGGGATATGGCCTGCTTGATAGTTGGCAAGAAATATTCTGCGAATTTCGAAGCGAATCGCAGCACAAGAATGGGCTGCTTCATTTGCAAGCCTATTGCCCTCAGCGCTGCAAGCTTAGACATGTGAACAGCAGAAACCCTTTCGTTACAAATGCTTGCTATTTCTTACCACAGGTCAAAATTGTCCGAACATTGCAGGTTGCAACTTGAAAAACCGGTTTCTTTCAATATTAAAGACCCTTTAACCAGGATGGTGCAATCTGAAAAAAATATGGAGAGGGCCTCTGATTTTTTTTTAACCAGCAAACAACAAAGCTGCAATCTCGGCTCTTTGAGATGAATGGTTCAGGTCAGGTAAGGGAACGGAAAGCTTCCCATGTCTTGGTGCATACATTCCCCTTGCAGCACGAGAAAACCTCCTCTTTGAAAACAATTGCCATCAGTGAAAACATCCTGGCCCGACATACTGACTTGTGGGGCATGTCTTCAAGCTTTGCCCCTTGTTCGGCCCGAAATCTATCCATGGATTCATTTTCAAAGAAGATTCTCGTATTCCACCAAAACAACTTGGTTTTTCAGAAAAAGGGCAATCTCTGAACATGTGAATGTGTGTGTTTTGACACCCACACTTTGGACAAGAATCAGACTTTGCCAGACCCGCTTTATACTTTCTAGGTCCGTCGAACAAAGATCCTTCCATGAGGTACTGAACTATCCATTGCCCATGCCATGGATGTCTGTAGGAAGTGATTGGAGATCATCAGACACTTTTGAGAAAATACTGTGTCGGGAAAGTCATTGCCGCTGTGGGGATGATCGAAACAGCGACCGTCGCACGGACCTTTCCAACTCGTTTAGAAACTTTGGCTTCCTTGGGTCATGGAAAATTGAAAAACGCTTGTCCGGTTGAAGATAAATGGGTCGTCCGTAAATTGCCAGCCCAATTCTTTAAGGAGTCTTTAAAGAGGCGGGAAAGCACTGCTGGCGCACCATTGAGGGTGTCTCCATCAATGCTTCTAAACTTGTGGGTTTGAACAAACACCTTTTTTGACCAGGGCCAACTTTCTGTAGGTTGACATGACATGAAGAACCCATTTTGCCCGTGGATCCACCCATATGTCCGCACAAGTTGACATAGCAAGGAAAGGACACCTCATATGGTTTTTACGGGGGAACATTGCATTAACCACCTTAGTATGCAACTGGTGAAAAACAAAATTTGAAGTGGCTTGAACTTCACTCCCAAATACCCAGTGTGAGTGGGCACTGGTTTTGAGAAAGTGACATTTCTGCTAGGGGAAGATAGGAAATCTTCTGAACAGCCTTAGCAGCCTTTCAAAGCCGGGCATCTTGGGGTTTTGCACCTTTGGAGCGGGATACTTTGCAGTGAAAACCAAAAGAGTGGGCTTGTTTAGTCTGGGGGATATGTTCCCAACTTGAAGAAGAAACCTATCTGCATTTTCCTTCTTCCGGGTGAGGATAGCACTTGTTTGATCGTTTTGGTTTTGTCCCACAGAAGAATTAAACGCTGTAAGTTCATTTGCCATGGTGACCAACGTGGGAATTTCAGAAACCTTAGTCCACATTTTGGTGTCGTCGATAAAGGAAGCGAACTGTCCATCTGAATAAGCTGTTACAAAACGGCAGTGTTGGCGGTGCAAATATTTGACAAGTGCGCAACATTCCCCAACTGGCAAAATACAGGCACAGACCCAATAGATGCTTCAATGTAGGACGTAGCATCAAAATTGCCTCGGCTTGGTAGCCCTTTGGCCGGGGAGATTTGCATTGGTGTTTGCGCGTGTGAACAGGGCAAGAAAGTGCATGGTTGCTCTGTACAGTCTCTTCGGATGGGCAAGTATTTGGGCATGCTTCCTTCTCACTCTGAAAACTTATATCCAGTCCTTCTTCAGCCCAGTTCGCGTGTATGTCAAGGCTATATACTCTGAAGGTAGTGTTTAGGCCACTTGGAGGCTATGCTTGGGCTCCATGAAGTTATCTTGCAGTTTTCAAATCATGTGAGCAGCGTGCTAATTCTAATACTCCACCTCCACAGCCTAAAGCTCTGCAGCTGGTCAAATTTTAGGAGCAGGAATGTTGCACTGGTTTTGAATTCGGACCCGTACCGGCTCTCCAAGTGCACCTGCATACATGTATAGCAATCCCCAAAAACATAGAGGGTAAAATCGTATCAACATAGTGGCAAAAATCACTTTCTATTTTTATGAAAGTTAATTATACGAGATGTACAGATGATCATCGGCACTGCCATCCAGATGCAGCCCTGGTTGCGACGCCCACTGCTGAAACTGCTGCGAAGCTGTGCGCCTTTGCTCCGGCACTTGCAAGCCAAGCTCCCGGCAAACTTGTTGGAGGTGAGAAATGGGACGCAAGGATTAAAACTCGTGGGTTAGTACTGTGCAGACTGTGCATATTATTTCATTTTATAAAATTATGATTCGATGCCTATCACTACAGTATTATCATTATTAAGTCTATTATGGTTTGTTGAGGCTTATTTCGGCTTTTGTTGGATTATGCTTTACTATCGCGGACTATATATTATGTAGTCACATCACCCAGAAAACATGGCCCAACAAACATACAAACACAAGTCACTGCACGCGTAATGATTATGATAGTGGACCCCCAAACTCCGCCAAAATAATCTCAGATGGCGTCTTCGAGCAGGGCCCTGGCCCATTTCTGGACACATCTGCATTTTGAACAAGTCTTGGAAAGGTCATGTGGCATCTCAAACTCAATGGCATTCCCATTGATCATGATTTTCTCCCTAAATAAGGCTAATTTAATCTCAGAGGTAGGATTCCTGGCTGTGTCTCTACATTCATAAAAGGGCACTGGGTTCAGTAGGCTAAACGGGGTCAATCTGCCACTCCCACCTATTTAGATCTATTTAGGTAAAGAAAACTATCTTACAAGACCTGTGGATGGGGATGTATTCAGTAACATTATTGGAGTCTTTACCCTAGACACAGCAATGGACATGGAGAGCCAGCAGCACCAGGTAGGTCTGGGTGGCATGTTTGCGACCGGCACCATGGACCGCACCACTTTGGCACGCTTGGAGTGGTTGGAACTGGAGCCTGGCCCCTTGGAACTGGAAAGTTGGCTTCAGCCATTTGAGGTTGAAGAATCGTTTTTGGACGACGAAGAACTGGAGTATCTGCAAAAGTTGCATTGTTCGAGGTGAACATGTCGACTGGTCACCAGAGGGTCTGCGGGTCCACAAAGCTTCAGTTTTGATCCGCGCTTACCCTGCTGAGGTGGCCTGGTTTCACCCGCTTTCCCTGCACTCTTTGGCAGCGTCAACACCCCGCGGCTGCAGCACCTTTGCATTGCACATGCGGCACTCAAGGATGGCCTGGGATCGTCACTCCTGCGGAGACTGACAGGTGGGGTTTAAGGGGATGCAGGGTGGCAGTTTCGACAATGCGCAGCACCAAGTCCAAAAGCCGTCTTGAAATTAGTGAACTAAACGAACTCTGAACCTGCTATTGCTATCGATTTTCCATCTGGTTTTGAATAATTTTCAGAATAACATCTGATTTGGCTGGGCCTAGGACACTGGTTGTCACAAATCCACCTTGAACCTCCAGCCTTGCTTCCCAGAATGTGAGGCATCTCCGGTCTCCGAGCCCTTGGCCTGCGAGACTGTGGTCTTGGAGCCAATTCGGCACGCTGGGTCCTCAGCACAGCACTCGGGTTCAGCAGAATCTTTTCCTATCACCTTCTCAAAGCTCACCATCATGCAAATACTGAAGTTGAAAAGGGGGTGGACCAGCTCAGAAACTCATCACACGCATTTTCTGGACTCTTTTTTACACAGCTGTGAAAGAGTTTCCACTCCTGTTGCAGCTGGAAGTTGAATGACAGTTATTTCAATATTTCGCGAAATTAAAACTTAGATGTGTGCTGATGCATGCTCATATACAATCTTGATCTCTGCTCTGCGGGATGAAACCGCGCCTGGGTCGCTTAGTGACATGGCACCCGCTTGATCGCGGCACTTGCTAAGGCTACTTCAACCTGGCCAGCTGGCCAAATTTGACATACTTGGATCTGAGCTACAACCGCACGGGGCTCCCAGTGGTACTCGAATCTGTTGCTTTCTGTGGCGCTAGTCATGTGCTGCCAGTATTGCTCCCGAGGATTTGCTTCTGCAGGACAAGAGCTGCTGAACAAGTTTTCAACCACCTGCCGCCTGAGACACCTTAGGCTGTGAGTGAAGACATGGAAGATGCTAGGGTTGGCTGGTTTAAACATGACTGTGGATCTTGCTAGGGCTCAATCTCAATATTTTTTTTTCAGAACAGGCTGTTGAATGAACAAGACAGTATCATCCACTGCCTGCAAAGTAAGAGTACGGGGAGCCTTTACAGACAGGTAGATTATGACCTGTGATACTGTATTCCTATTTGTGATATTCCTATTTGTAGCTGTACAGTCTGCACAGGCCTCGCCCTGAAAGATAGAACAACACTGATTTGAGTGACATCTATTTTGCTAACACATCGGCATTACACATTGGCATTTTCTAGTATTTAGCCAAGGAAACCCGTTTTGATGACATGACTTGGATCTGCATCCGACAGACAGACAGAGAGACAGACAGACAGACAGACAGACGGACAGACAGACAGACAGACAGACAGACAGAGAGAGAGATAGATAGATAGATAGATAGATAGATAGATAGATAGCTAGATAGCTAGATAGCTAGATAGCTAGATAGATGGAAGGATGGATAGATGGATAGATGGATAGATGGATAGATGGATAGATGGATGCATGGATGGATGAATAGATAGATAGATAGATAGATAGGTAGATAGGTAGATAGGTAGATAAGTAGGTAGATAGGTAGATAGGTAGATAGGTAGATAGGTAGATGGATAGATGGATAGATGGATAGATGGATAGATGGATAGATGGATAGATGGATAGATGGATAGATGGATTGATGGATAGATGGATAGATGGATAGATGGGTAGATAGATAGATAGATAGATAGATAGATAGATAGATAGATAGATAGATCGATAGATCGATAGATAGATAGATAGATAGATAGGTAGATAGGTGGATAGGTAGATAGGTACATAGGTAGATAGGTAGATAGGTAGATAGGTAGATAGGTAGATAGGTCGATAGCTAGCTAGATAGATAGGTAGATAGCTAGCTAGATAGATAGATAGATGGATAGACAGACAGGTAGATAGATAGGTAGAGAGATAGGCAGATGGACAGTTGGATAGATAGAGAGATAAACAGAGATAGATAGATAGATAGATAGACAGACAGACAGACAGACAGACAGACAGACAGAGAGATAGATAGATAGATAGATAGATAGACAATTATAATTACAAATACGTATATAAATGGGCTAACGCCCTGGTGCCGCCGACCCCCTCATCAAGGGGGGGGCTAGGTAGGGTTTGAAAATCTTACAGCGAAGAAAGACACAGTTGCCAGACGATTCCTTGTGACCTGGTTTGTGTTTTCTGCTAAGTGGCCTTTAGAAAGAGGTCAGTTAAGGAAAACGTAGAAAGAGGTCACGTAAGGAAACGAACCAAACAGTGGCCTACCAGTGAGACGCAAGTGACACGCAGGTGACACGCAGACAGCGAATCCTTAAGTGACCTTTTCAAGGCTTAAGTGACCTTTTCAGGGTGTGACCTTTTCAAGGCTTAAGTTGAATAGCGACGTAAAGAGCCAACTGAATATATAGAAACAGCTTGTAGGGCCTAGGGAGGTACCATGGCAAAGCAAGGGGGCAACCCTCAAAAGCTGCTGCAGAGATTGTGCGGTGCTGAGGCCGTCGAAAGCTGCTGCGAGGCTTTTGCGGCAGTTTCGAAGGCCAATAGAAACAGCTTGTAGTGCCAATAGAAAGGCACAGGGAGGCACCATGGCAAAGCCAGCAGCACACTTCGAGAGCTGCTGCGGAGGGTTGTGCGGTGCTGAGGCCTTCGAAAGCTGCTGCGAGAGTTTTGAGGGTTTTAAGGCCTGCCCAAAACGTGCCACGCGGCAGTTCCGAAGCCCAATAGAAACAGCTTGTAGGGCCAATAGAAAGGCACATGGAGGCACCATGGCAAAGCCAGCAGCACGCTTCGAGAGCTGCTGCGGAGGGTTGTGCGGTGCTGAGGCCTTCGAAAGCTGCTGCGAGGACGTGCGGCAAGCGGTTTTATGTGGAGAAGGGCGTCGTGAGCAAGGGAACGAAGCAGCATGCGCACAGGTGCCCACTGTGCCAGACGCTAGTTTGGTCTGCGCGTGGATCCGGGCGAATCCAAAGCAAACAAAACGCACCGTGTGGACGGCCGTGCAAGCAGAAAAGTTGGATAGCGACGTAAAGAGCCAACTGAATATATAGAAACAGCTTGTAGGGCCTAGGGAGGTACCATGGCAAAGCAAGGGGGCAACCCTCAAAAGCTGCTGCGGAGATTGTGCGGTGCTGAGGCCGTCGAAAGCTGCTGCGAGGCTTTTGCGGCAGTTTCGAAGGCCAATAGAAACAGCTTGTAGTGCCAATAGAAAGGCACAGGGAGGCACCATGGCAAAGCCAGCAGCACACTTCGAGAGCTGCTGCGGAGGGTTGTGCGGTGCTGAGGCCTTCGAAAGCTGCTGCGAGAGTTTTGAGGGTTTTAAGGCCTCCCCAAAACGTGCCACGCGGCAGTTCCGAAGCCCACTAGAAACAGCTTGTAGGGCCAATAGAAAGGCACATGGAGGCACCATGGCAAAGCCAGCAGCACGCTTCGAGAGCTGCTGCGGAGGGTTGTGCGGTGCTGAGGCCTTCGAAAGCTGCTGCGAGGCTTTTGAAGGTTTTAAGGCCTGCCCAAAACGTGCCACGCGGCAGTTTCGAAGCCCAATAGAAACAGCTTGTAGGGCCAATAGAAAGGCACATGGAGGCACCATGGCAAAGCCAGCAGGACGCTTCGAGAGCTGCTGCAGAGGGTTGTGCGGTGCTGAGGCCTTCGAAAGCTGCTGCGAGGCTTTTGAAGGTTTTAAGGCCTGCCCAAAACGTGCCACGCGGCAGTTTCGAAGCCCAATCGAAACAGCTTTTGGGGCCAATAGGGAGGCACCATGGCAAAACCAGCAGCACACTTCGAGAGCTGCTGCGGAGGGTTGTGCGGTGCTGAGGCCTTCGAAAGCTGCTGCGAAGCTTTTGAGGGTTTTAAGGCCTGCCCAAAACGTGCCACGCGGCAGTTTCGAAGCCCAATCGAAACAGCTTTTGGGGCCAATAGGGAGGCACCATGGCAAAACCAGCAGCACACTTCGAGAGCTGCTGCGGAGGGTTGTGCGGTGCTGAGGCCTTCGAAAGCTGCTGCGAGGCTTTTGAAGGTTTTAAGGCCTGCCCAAAACGTGCCACGCGGCAGTTCCGAAGCCCAATAGAAACAGCTTGTAGGGCCAATAGAAAGGCACATGGAGGCACCATGGCAAAGCCAGCAGGACGCTTCGAGAGCTGCTGCAGAGGGTTGTGCGGTGCTGAGGCCTTCGAAAGCTGCTGCGAGGCTTTTGAAGGTTTTAAGGCCTGCCCAAAACGTGCCACGCGTCAGTTTCGAAGCCCAATAGAAACAGCTTTTGGCGCCAATAGGGCGAAGCCAGCAGCACGCTGCGAGAGCTGCTGCGGAGGGTTGTGCGGTGCTGAGGCCTTCGAAAGCTGCTGCGAGGCTTTTGAAGGTTTTAAGGCCTGCCCAAAACGTGCCACACGGCAGTTTCGAAGCCCAATAGAAACAGCTTGTAGGGCCAATAGAAAGGCACATGGAGGCACCATGGCAAAGCCAGCAGGACGCTTCGAGAGCTGCTGCGGAGGGTTGTGCGGCGCTGAGGCCTTCGAAAGCTGCTGCGAGGCTTTTGAAGGTTTTAAGGGGTGCCCAAAACGTGCCACACGGCAGTTTCGAAGCCCAATAGAAACAGCTTGTAGGGCCAATAGAAAGGCATATGGAGGCACCATGGCAAAGCCAGCAGGACGCTTCGAGAGCTGCTGCGGAGGGTTGTGCGGTGCTGAGGCCTTCAAAAGCTGCTGCGAGGCTTTTGAAGGTTTTAAGGGGTGCCCAAAACGTGCCACGCGGCAGTTTCGAAGCCCAATAGAAACAGCTTGTGGGGCCAATAGGGAGGGCTGCTGCGGAGGGTTGGGCGGTGCTGGGGCCGTCGAAAGCTGCTGCGAGGGTTTGAGTGTTTTAAGGCCTGCCCAAAACGTGCCATGCGGCCGTATGCAAAGGTACCATGGTAAAGCCAGCACAGGGCCATGCCGCACACCTACGGTGATCCCAGGCGCCGCCCCGCCTAGGCCAAGGCTAGGCAGGGGTCGGCGGATTATATATATATATATACATACATACATATATATATATATATATTATATATATATGTGATACACACACATTGTATATGGGAGATTCGCGAGTAGCATATGGGTTCTTGTCCACTGACCGGGTCCCGCACCCGCAGTCTTCGCTGCTGCGACCTGGAAGCAGATGCTATGGCAGCTGATCTGAAAAAAACCCTGGATGGCTTTGGTTTTGGTTGGTCCATGGACCAAGGGACATCATTTAAGCACATATCAGTCAGTGGGACATCACAGGGTTTAGAAATCTCAAACTTTTTGCTCGATGTAGAGATTTTCCAGTTTAGCGGTTGGGTTAGAATTCCCTGCATTTTCGAAGCTTTGGGCATGCGAATTGTCTCTCCGACTGTGCCAAATGTGAGTCAAGCAGTGAATCCAAATAAACACTCTTAGAATGCCCAATTGCATGTGCACGGCAGCTGGCTAAAACATTCGTTGCCATTCCACCCGCTTTAGTGCACAATATCAGTGCGGTGCAATTGCAACTGTTGGCACCAGTTCTAGTATCTTAGATCAAATAGCCCCTTCTCGCACAAACTTTGTACGCACGTAGTGGGGAATCGTCCTGAGAATCTTTAGTCTTTGGCTGGAAATTGCTCATCGCAGCAGTATTAATTTCTGAAATACAGTAGAGACTTTTGCGCTCCCCAAGTTCCACAAAAGGAGTAAAGCACCCTGAGGTGTCTGTGGGGCATCTCGTGGTGTGCCGGAAACTCAAGTCGTATCCGGTCAGGCTTTGAAACATGGGGCGGTTGTAAGACCATTGTTGGGGGGTATTATCCACAAGGCAAGCCGCGACCTTTGTTTATTTGTTGGGGACCAATGATCTTTGAGATACCCAGATGGCCATGTTTCGAATTGTTGAGCCCCTGAAGGCCCTGAAGTCCTGAAGCGCGAAAAAAACACAGAACTCTTAGTTTTGCACATGTACATATGCATAGTTGTACATACGTCAGGCATCATTGATTGGAGCATCTCTGAGAACATGGAAATGTTAAAGGCAGTAGAGCTGTGTAAGCTGTTGGGAGCAGTTTGCGTACCTACCATTCTTCAATAGGGTGCTAAAAGCTCTGAACCAATGTCCAAGACTCACGGTTCGACATTCATTCATGTCTAAAATATACAGCAATTTCGTTTGCCATGCGACTTTAGGTAGCAAGGTTACGGAACTGGCACTCGCACAGAATTTTGTCAAATTCAGAAGTTGGCTTAAACACCCATGAACATCCATTCGCTATAGTTGTATTGCATTTTTTTAAAATCGAGTCTCAGCGACTTTGTTTTTTGCTCAACACCGCCCAGGTCTTCAACAACTTGAAGTCTTCGACCTTGGCGGCAACGAGAGGCGCTCCCTCATCCACACTCTCACAAGACTCACAAGGCATCCACCAAAAGACAGGTCGGGACCACATCAAAAGTTGTCTCGAAAATTGTAACTCCATGAATTCCAAAATTCCATGGTCTATCGGTCGATCATTAATGTCCTATTTTATTCTGACGTGAGATTTTCCCTGCCTTCAAAACAAAGCCTGATTAGTACGGATGAGTTTGATGGACGAGCCTGTGATCCCTGAGGCTCTGTTGCGATCAGTCGACGGCTCAGCTCTTTCTGCAAGCGGCAGTCAAGGAGTTTGGTCAAGGCTGGGGCAGCGATGGAATGATGGACCAATGGTTTGCACATCTCAGTTTCTTCTAGAGCCAACACAGAAAAAGCACAAAAGAGAGGAACGCAGTAAAGCTTGGTATTTTTTGATGTTTGGGTCTCGCTCTTGGCGGCCTCTTTTGGTGATCTAGGGTACTTGAAGCTCCAAGCAAAACCACAGTCACTGAGACAGTTGAGAGGGATACGCAAAATATCATAAGAAAGACATAGATTAAATAGATAACAAGCTGGATTGGAATGTGGTGAATTTGAATGAAGGTGAATATTGGCATACAGGGTGCTAAAACTCAAAGCATGCGAGACACCGAAACGCTTCTGTCTCTATCATGTGATACGATCCAGGAATGTTGTTGCTTATCTTCTGCTGTGGAATATGCACACACACACACCTCCTTTTTTCAACACATCCCAATCCCAGTAGTTTTTTGGATGCTTTCAGTTATGCGAGCGGTGATACCCCCCGGCTTTTTGTGCCATTTGCGCTTTTTGTATATATATAGACCCTTTTTCCATCGGACTCGAGAACCATTTGGTAGAACCTGAATCCTAGAGAATTTACTGGCGGCCATCTGTTTAATGACTTGCAGGAAAACAACATGAGAGTGTGTGTATATATAGTAAGTATATAATTATATGATTATATGTAATATATTGAATCTATATACATATATATATAATACACGTATCTATATACTTTGTATGTATATATGTATGTCTATATGTATGTCTATGCCTATGCCTATGCATCTGTACATGTACGTGTATTAAGATAATATCTTCCATTCACAGACCCACTGTAGATTCCATTGTTCAGGCACTTTTTGGGCATGGCCTGCGGTCTCGACAAGTGGACGTCGGGAATCCCGGGGTGAAGGGTCTGGAGTCTATGGAGTTGTGACGCGACCAATGCGATACATCTTCTATTGATGGAGGACGGATAGTCTTGGTGTCTGCTGAAAAGGCACCTCAGCATGACAGCCTGCAAATACAACATGCAAGCGTAGCATTCACCATCTCATTGTATCTCATTGCATCGGCTGCTGCTTGATCTGAAGTAAGACATTCCACCTGGCGGGTGGTGGGGCTCCTTATCCACAGAGTCTATGGTTGCGGGGCATTGAGGCCTAGACCTTCGTGGCAGCGTTCAGGTGCAGACCTTCCCTGAGGAGTTACAACAGGTTACAACTGGATTTCAGAGAAGTCTAGTGGCAGAAGCGGTAGAAGGAATCCCCAGCCGACAGTCACGTCAAATGGCATAAGCTGTCCTTCTGTGAGGCTGATGTGGTGGTCTTTCTGCCCAAGAAATTGGGCCGTTTTCATCTGTTGCTGCTCGGCTTTGCTGGGCTGGAAGGGATGCCACATGAAGTGGGTAAAAAATGGGAATCTTGGTGCTTGGCCGTGCATTTTCGGGCTCCTTCGTAACCGGTGTGCATACTTCCATGGTGCAAAGGTGCAGAAGCTGGAGGATGCTTTGTCTCACCAACTTCCAGGTTATAAAATCCTTGTTTTTGCAAGACAGCAAGCGTTCCCCAGAAACGACAAGGGCGGTTTCAAGTCCATGAGCAATGCTTTGAAAAAAGTGCTTCATTGATAATTTGGCAGCTTCGTTCATGGAAACCAGCAGGTTTAGATGTCAATCTTGCCCAGACAAGCTGAGGCGGGTGGACAGCTGACAGCCCTCATTGCAAAAGTCAGCAAGATGTGCGGTGTTCAGAGCCATACGTTCTGGACCTTTGGTGTTGTGTGTTTAGTTTTCTTCATTTTAAAGAAGAGCTGAGCTTGCAAGTTCAGAGGCAAAGCACTGGATAGACGTAACCATGAAGGGAAATCATGTTTTGGAAGTACTACGTTTGAAATCTCAGATACCTCAGACTTGAGGTCAAGGTACTCTTTTAAACAACTCTTTTGACCGCGTCTTTGTTAGCCATGATATCTCAGCTTCCCTTGCGTCTCCTGGATGAAGCCATGATGAAGCTGACTTTTCTTCTTAGTTACAGCACATATTCCAGATCCACTTGCTTGCTGACCATTAGTTCACCCTGTATCACGGTCAAGAAGTGCTTCACAGCTTTACTGAGAACAACATCGGACACCTTGCTGCCATGGCGATGATTGCAGCTTCAGTGATCCCACATGTCCAGGCTGTGGACTGGAACAGAAATTCCATGTGTTTAGGGCGAACTGTAGCTGAAGACAAGCATTTCGTCAGTGGCTGAGATTCTAGTTTTATGATGGGGTCTACGACTCTCCGCAAGAATGCTTTGTGTGACGTATCCAGACTTGCCATTTAATACAATGTTCACGGTTTGGAACTTTGGTACTTCCCCAAGCAATTTCAGATCCATTTGTGAAGATTGTGGGAACCCCCAAATAGATAAGAGAACATGTTTCGCCGCCCTAGAATCTCCAGAGTCCCAAGCAGGTTTGCTATCAATTTGATTTCGTTTGCTGGTTCCGGCTGTTGAAATTTGAGGATTTTCCTGACAAGGCCACAGAGAATTCACACTTTCCTGACTGGGCGAAGACTTCCCGGCAGGCTCTGCCATCATCCACAGGCTTTGCTCATGCTGAGCCGAGGCCTGGAAAGGTTCGAGTTCTGACAGTTTGGGCACCGGGCACAACCTTCAAGTTGGTTCAAGTTGGTCACTTTCATATCTTTCAGGGTGAGGTCTCCGAGCAGAAGCTGGAGCTTCAGTTGGATCTCTACAGTGGGAAGCCTGGAACTTCGGTTGCTTCAGGTTGGTGCGAAGCGTATGGCCAATCCAACCTGCAAGTTGATGGACCCTGGTGACCCTGCTTCTCTTCCAGAATCTGTTGGGATTGAAGTCAGGAAAGGTTGCATGGATTTTTTTCCTGTTGTTTTGCCCTTGCATGGCTTCCATTTTGAGGGTATCATTTTGTATACATCATAATCATCATGCCCATAGCTCTCATCCTCCTCATCCTCATCCTCCTCATCCTCATCCTCCTCATCCTCATCCTCCTCATCCTCCTCATCCTCCTCATCCTCCTCATCCTCCTCATCCTCCTCATCCTCCTCATCCTCCTCATCCTCCTCATCCTCCTCATCCTCCTCATCCTCCTCATCCTCCTCATCCTCCTCATCCTCCTCATCCTCCTCATCCTCCTCATCAGTCATCCTCATCCTCCTCATCAGTCATCCTCCTCATCCTCCTCATCCTCCTCATCCTCCTCATCCTCCTCATCCTCCTCATCCTCCTCCTCCTCATGATCATGATCATGATCATGATCATGATCATGATTATAATCATCATCATCATCATCATCATCATCATCATCACCATCACCATCACCATCACCATCACCATCACCATCACCACCATCATCACCATCATCATCATCATCAGCTTCTTCTCTGTTGGGTTAATTCTGATGAAAGCCAAATGTTTGCTCTGCACTATTCCTTTGACCACCTACTACCATAACTACATACCTTCCGTGCACCCCCTTGCTACAATGATGTTGGATGGTACATCACCCCAACATTTTCTTATCCCCATCATACCACTTACA